ATATATTCGATGCGGATACCATTAAGGAATCGTCGTATAAATGGCGCATTGCGAGACGCGCTTTACAATTAAATCGTTCCCCGATAATTTGCAACCCGGATAGAAACGAAAAAGGAATAAAATAAATGCATACAGCGGGGCACAAGAACTTTAGCCGGATGAAATAAAATAGGAGGCGCACACCGTTCGATGCTCTCAATTTATATCGGACTGTCGATAAAGCGTAAATAAATTTCCGCTGTTTACCAGAGTTAATGCATCTCATTTCTGCCGCTTTGCATTCTTCCGCGTGTTTAAACCCCCTCCCCCTTCGAACTGTTCACCCTTTTTCTTAAAGTCGCAAGTAATCGCGCAAATCTGGGTGAACGAGGCGAATAATTAATTGAAAAGAGCCTCGAAGAATTTTTTCTTCATCATCGTACTTTTATTTTTACACAATAGAAAAATTTTTTTATACAGTTTCTGTAATAACCGAGAAAAGAATTTTCGGAATCTTGGTGGTGAATGGAAGAGAAATGGCCGGGGAGGGGGAAAAAAGTGTAATTTATATCCTCGGAACGGTACAAAGGAGACACATAAATATCACCAGTTTCAACGCGAGATTTTAGGGGTGTGTCATTGATTTTTCTTAGCTTCCTTCGAACCATCGTGGAAAACCTATTCGTTTCCCTGAAACGTCATATCTGTGCCAACGTCTTTTTCAATCTCCTCCAATTTCTCAACTGATTTGCCGTGGCTCAGCATTCTTCGAATTCCATTACAACCGATATCACGCCAATAACGATCGAATAATCTCCGTCATTATTATAACGAATCTGAAACTTCGCCTTCTAAACTTTCCGTTTAAAATAGCAAACAAAATTTTAAGAAATAGCCCATTCTAAAAATCAAATCCCTCTATCATTGTCAAGAATGAAAAGAAATTACAGATATATCTGAATTAAAAACTTTTTAACATTTTCGTATTTATTTTCAAAACAAACTACAAAAATTTCTATCCCAATACACGCGCCATATATATAATTGCCAATCCGAATTTATCGTTCCGTTTCCGTTTGATTCAATTTTCTATATAACGTATATATGATCAACACGATTTCTCGAAATTCACTATCCGAGAGAACGGCCATAATAAACCTGCACACACACACACACACATACAAAGCAGGGTCGTCGAATTAGAAACTTCTCTCCACGCGACTGGTTAACAGAGAACACTCGATCGAACGCGACTTAACGATGTTCCAATCCTTCGTATCACGATAAAATCGATTCGATTCGGAAAGAGGAACATCTGTTGGGGAACGAATTCCACCGGAAGCTCAAAATTCCTCTTCTCTCTATCTCTCTTTCTCTCTCTTGCCCCCCTCCTCTCCTCTAGATCGGTGTTGTTCTCCGACAGGCATGCTAATTCAATTCACCCCCTACCACACCCCCTATTACGAATGCCTCTCCTCGTTTGTAAGTCTGCGCTTTTCGGGGCAGAAGTTCGCTGCAAATTAGCGGGAGTGTCGACAAGCAATTAATCTCGAAAGGGAACAGGGCGAGCAGAGTGACTGATTCGTTTGATTTTCACGAAGCACTGGATGCAGTTAATTCGATTCAATTTTTTAATTACACGGAAAAGGGGGATGAGTTCGATAGTGATAATAGGAGGACATTTAAAAGAAGAAATTATGGAGTGAAATTTGAAGGAGAAAATTTGATGGAGATAGTTATTAGGAGGAGGAGGAGGGGGGTTATTAATGTTTGAATTAATATCTTTAGTAATTGGTAATTTTGCTGTTAACCAATTCACATTATATTTATATATCTTGAGAGAAATCATGTTTAATTAATAATCGTATAATTATGTGTACGTTACGATTTATTTAAAATATAATTGCACAATATAATTATACGATATAACTATGAATTATATATTTAATTGTATCGTATAATACTTTATATAATTGTTTTAGAATATTTGTTACGTAATTCATATTTATATCGCGATAAATTTATTCACAATATCATCGTATAATGGCGAATTGGTTAATAAAAATGTTAATTCTGATTTTTATTGAGATCGAAATAATGATATATAGTAATAATTTTAGTGTAAAATATTTGAGATAAAAATTGAATCATTTTAAAAAAGACATTATAGAGAATATATAAAAATTTTGCTCTTCTGATATCTTATTTTAATTTCGATAAAGAAGAAGTTATAAATTTAAAAATTAATTCTTCCGAAAATATGTAACTTTTCAAAGTATCTCAAAACAAATAATTTATATATAAGTAATAAATTAAAAATATCGACGAATTTTATTCGTGAAATTTGATTCCAAATTTGATAATCTCAGATTCCAAGATAAATGGATCGTTTTCTCGATTCTTCCTTATTTGAATTTTACCGCGTAAAATTTTCCGTATCGTTACTTCCGATTTCGCGACTCGAAGCGTATGTTCCTTCTGCATACCGGAAGCTCCAAGTTTACCCAAAACTTTGCGACTACCTTTGGTACTTTGTCTTCGAAAATACGACTTCCTCGCGCATTACCGTTAATAAGAAAGTGTTCCGTGCTCCACGGTAAATTCTATTATACCCGATTTCCATATTGTACGCCCATCGTTGCGAAGATTGTGCGATTAATGGGTTAATTTCTGGTAGATAGTTCTTGGAAGTTCGCGCAAAGTGAAATTTTAACGAGATTTTAAATCACGTATAATAATAATAATATTAAGATACATGTTTATTGATTTTTAAAATGGAGAAATCTACGATGAAATAACGATTATGATATTTGTATGAAGTAACGTTTAAAGGATAAATGATCTTGTCTGGATAAACGATCACGTAATGTAGAAAAATGGTTGTCGACTCGACTTCTCGAAAAAGTTTTAAGACAAAAATATACCTTTATTATTAAACTTATGGTGTAATAACTCATTGCGATCCACTCTCTATCTCTCTCTCTTTTTCTCTCTCAGAATAATAAATCTCGCGATATACGAGTTTCACAAAGCAGAGACGAATTATGGTTTTAATGAACCGAGAATTTCTCAACAATTTCATTCCACCCGATTGAGAAAGAAACGAAAATCGAAGAAAAAAGGAGGGAACAAGATAGAAAAAAATATAACATAAAAAGCAAACGAAAGGAGAAAAGGAAAATAATAGAAACAAGTCGAAGGGAAAAGTTGCAGCAACTTTATCGATCGCATTCATCCCCCATATTTTTCTCCCCCTTCTTTCATGCAATTCGTAGTAACTCTGATAAACGCAACCGCGGAATTTACCGTCTGATTCAAAGCTCTCGAAGAGTTTATCGAGTTAAGCTTAGGTCGATCCTTGCCTCTCTCTCTCTCTCTTTTTCTCTTTCTCCTTTCGTAGAAAACTAACTGGAAGGAAAAGAAGAGGAAGAGAAAGAAAAAGAAGATAGAGGATATATTTCGAGTGGAAATATTCACCAATTCTGGATGGGAAGAGAATTCGGCCCTGGCTCTTGGCTAAGTTGATAGATAATGAAGATAAAAGCGCGAGAGATAGGACAAGGAAAGACGAAAAGAGAAGAGGGTGGTCCATGGTAGACATTACTACTGGGAATTCCGCAATTAAATCCCTGCCTATTCTTCTCCTTTTCCCGCGAACTCTCCCTTCGTTTCGTTCATCCCCTTCATCCTTTACCTCCTCTCTTTGTACACCATCCTCTCTTTCTCTCTCTCTCTCTCTCTCTCTCTTTTTCCTTGTTGCATTACCGCCTACGACAGATACTAAATCCTGTGGAATAGATACTTGCTGGAAGTAATTCCGGATTTGTAAACCGTTTTACGTGGAATTTTCTCTTTTTTCCAACCCCTCCTCTCCACCTTCGTTTCCACTTACTCTTTCCTCAAGGCTACATTCTCTCTCTCTCTCTCTCTCTCTCTCTCTGTTTCTCTCTTTTCATTCCTTTCGTCCAGTGACAAGGAGTAAATTACCTCTGTGCACTTTCTTCGTACCATCTCTTCGTATTCAAATAAAATAGCCGTTCGAAAATTCGAGTCGCAAACAAGTCCGAAAATGTTGTTTTCCATGGAATTCGCGACTTGTTATTGGCTCAAGCTGGTCTACCAAGTATTTAGCGATAGCGGGGATCGGGTTATTCCAGAATTTCCAGGAAACGTGCCCTCGTGAAGGCTCGGGACCCCGGTGGAGGATGGTTTACACGCGTGCAAGTCGAAACGGATGCGTCGTTTAGTCTTGGTTTCATCAAAAGGATAATGAGGGCTAGGGTGCGTCCGACTGCGTTAACGTTGCGAAATGGGAATGGAAAACGTGAGAGCGGCAGGGGAGCTGGTGGTTTCACGTCGAGTACTCTGCCGAGGTTTGTTGTATATTAAAAGTGGCTTGCGTGGTTGTGGGGAGCTTAGGGAAAAAAAAAATAGGTTGAAACTTTGAAATAGGTTTCGTGATTTCAGGAAAGGAGGGGAGGAGATAAATTGGAGCAAAGGATTTGAGAAGTTCATGAAATTCGATTATATTTTAATTATTACAATTAAATTTTAATTCAAGATTGAACGAAATAAGTGAGAAGAAGAAATAACAAGGTAATTGATAATGCTCAAAAATTTTGAATTAGATTTAAATTAAGTTGAATCGAGTAATGTATAATATTTATTTTTCAGAAAATGATATATATATATTTATATTCTTAATCTTAATCGTTAATTTATATAGAATATCTTCATCTATCGAGAATCACAGTCGTGAGAATACATCATTAATTTCTATCTCAAAAATTTACCCGAGTTTTTTTTCTTTTTTTCTCGACGTTCTGCGAATTGTACACATAAATAAGATAACAATTTCATTTTAGAAGAAGTTTGTAAAAAAAAATCCGGACAGAAGTGCTCAACAAAATTTCGCTGTACGACGCTCAAACTTGTACGATCCTCGATACCGCATGCTCTCCACGGAGGATTCCGCGTTTTGTCGCACATTCTTGGAATCCACTCGGCCACTGTGTGACATGCAATAAACTTGGGTCCCCGACTTAAACTCGCTGCCTCGGCATGCAACTTGTAACATGCTTTTGACGCGATGGGCTACAATTTCAGAAAAGTGTCTTTCCTCGCGCATCGACCGCGCACAGTTTTACGGGAGACGTCATATGAAATTTCCATTGTAAACGTTCCAGACCCTGGGGCATCCCTTTGTATCCTTATTTTCCCTTAAAGCCGTTTTATTCGATGGATCATATTAAAAGTAATGGATGGGATACGAGCTGCTTGAAAAAACTGTATTTTGAAATTTGTCGAGTTTTATTCAACCTGTTGTTATATGTTTTTACGTCGCACTTGGAATTAATTCAAACCACAATTTTTCACTTTATCAGAATTCTTCGCGCATAAGAATTTTCTTTCTCGTGGAAAAAAATAGTTTCTGAACGAAAATTTGCGTATGAAAGATTAAAGGAATCGAAGAAGAAAAATTTTCGATATTGAAAATTGAAAAATAAATCGATTCGAAGAAATGACGAAGACGATGTATTTAAAGCATTAATTACGAATAATTAGACTATCAGACTTGTGACACTTCGAATAAGAATATTTTATTCTTCCATATCACGTTAAATATTTGCGCTAAAAACTCGAACGATCCTTTCCAATCTCCAAAAAACAGTACACAAAAAGACACCTCTCCATTTCTCTAAACGTGGAACACCCATTTCCCAGAGATAAAATTCCATACGTGAAAGTCGTCAAAAAGTTGCACGCTTTTTCCACTTCATAGAGCAAAACAAAGTATAGTGAAAAGATGGAAAATGGGAAAAGGAGAAAAGAAAAAAAAAATTGTTATCAAAGAGAGACGCTCCTAGCACTTTGCCCGTCACAAGATATATAGACAAGAGAGGAAACGTCGTTTTATCCCTTTTGTGACGATAGAAACGAAGGCTTCCGTTTCAAAGTTCGGATCATTCGTAACCCGACACCTTGGTCCCTTTCTGAAATGAAAAACTGCAAGAGAATTAACGACGGATCCATCGGGTGTCGCGAAAGTTATTTAAAAAATGCGATTATTAACTCGGGTCAAAGGAGAAACTGGACGAGGGAGAGGGGCCGAGGGGAAAGCGTTTACCTCTGAAATACTTGGCCAAGAATTCTGGGAGGGAGTGAAAGAATCCCTATCGGGGCTCTCACAATTAACGAATTCTTCCGGAGACTTTGTAGTCTTGTTGTTTCTGTCCTGAAAGGAATTCAGGATGGTTCGATCGATGTGGAAGAGGGGTGAGTTTGATCAGGTTTATGATCAAACTCATGGGAGGCAATCGAAGAGATAGTAGATAATTTTGGAAATTGAGCGAAGTTTTCGACAAAACGGATCCGAGATATTTATTCGATTTGAATATTTTATTTTATCGTTTATGGTTACTCAATTGTGCATTTACGAATGTTTAATCGAAATAAAAGGATAGTTAATTATATTATAAAATTAATGCGTTCTATATAAATCAAATGGAATTTCTTTAAACGTGATTGAATTGTTGTATCTTTACATTCTTGTAAAATGCAAACGCAAAGCAAAATCAGATCTTTCGAGTAAATTAATCTATAATAATATCAAATCGTATTTTTATTTTCACAGAGATAGATAAAGGAAATGTCATTTAGAAAGCAGAATCGAATAATTGATTTTACACGAGAAAAATAACGTTCTATTTAACACGGAGGAAATAGTAAATAATAAGTGGCACAAGCTCTCTCTTTGTTGAATGTTGAAAGGAATAATTATACATGGAATACTTCATCATATATAATATCAAAATTTACGAGATGAAACCATATTTTAAGGGATTCAAAGTAACTTTGTTTACACAGACATATCTTCTTACACCATCCTTTAAAATAATCATCTTCCAGTACATCTTAATGTTATAATTGAACAACTAATCTTCAAAATCCACATTATTGCATTGTGCAATATCAACATATAATAAGTGAGTCATTTTTCGCAGCTTTTTTTCATATCTATAACCAATCAATTCAAATAATCACCGTTCAATTTTACACACGACATTCATCTCTCCCCCTCTCGCTTCAAAGTATAACGCAAGCAAAATCTAAAAATCTCATCTTCTCCAAATTCATCCTCGACGCATCGTCAAATCTCCGCGCGTTTCTCCGGAAGCGGCGGATGAACCCATTTCCGGTGCAACGAGCGCGCGACACCGTGAAGAAGAGAGGAGGGGGAGGTCGAAAAATGCGGTGGAGGAAGGAAAAAGGAGCGGGGTTGCAGCGGCGTGGGGCGCGGAATTGTGGGTGGGGTAGGGATAGAACGTGATTAATCGATGCTAGGGAGCAGACGAAGCGAAAGAGGGCGCCGTGACAAAGGGCGACTTCGCGATGGCGTCTGGACGCGTAGCGCCATCGGATTACCGGGAGGTAACGAGTTAACGACGGAGGCCAACTCCCGTCGACGCAACGCGGCCCATTAACCGTGACAAATAACCGCCACGTTGACTTTTCCATAAACGGGTCGTGACCCTATCCCACTCCTCAACTCCACTATTCCTTTCAACGTCTCGCGGTATGATTTTCTCTGAACTCGATTTTTTTTCCAAGGAACAAGAACGAGGAGAGTCGAATCCTTGGAATTTTTCTGAATTGTACTTGGCGTGACGTTCTTGGTCCACGTTTTTTCGTGGATAGGATCCCTTGGGTGAAATGATTGGGGTTGGATCGAGTTGTGCGTGATCGACGAGGGGTGTTTTTGCGGGTGGTTGCGTGAAGTATATCCGATGTATTTTGAGTTGGAATGTGATTAATGGATTTCGTGCGAAAGATTTGTAGTGGGTAGTAGATTTGTGGAAAAGGAGAATGGAAATTTTGTATGTTATTAATTAGCGAAGAAAATTTCTTTATATAGTTTGGATGTATAACGTAGAATTTTAGTTAATCTCGGTATATATTACACTCCTTCTACATTCGCCAGCAAAGAGATTCTAGGTAGTCTCCAAGGAAATTCTGGAGAGTCTACCCTGTCTCTCCCCTCCCAAGTATCCTTTTCATACAAATATATATCCTTTGAGCTGATCCATCTCGACATCTAAGGCGCTGGTCTACCAGGATTTACTTCTGTATGAATCTCCTAGCGGAATTAAACGCATCTCCTTTTCTTACATCCTAATCTTTCTTTATCCTCTACTCCCTTATCTTGTTCAAAATCGTACTATAAATAATAGTCTCACAATTAAAATTATCTTAAAAATTCGTTAAAAAAGGATTTAGAAAATATTCGTCTCATTGGAAGGAACTTTTATCAATTTTCACACGCTTCGAAGATTTATTGATGCGAAGAATTACGTTTTTCAAGTAAGCGAAATAAATTATCAAAATCACGCAACACACGTGCCATCACGCCACATTCTGCAAATTTCCACCAACCTTACATTTCTCCACGCTCTACATCTTTTACTGTCACGCGCTTTTACTGTTTGTATCACCAAGGATTCCAGTGTACACGTGTCCAAAATTGGACCCAGGAGAGGACAATACCGGTTAAGATAACAAACGGTCCCGTTGAAAATTCGTCATGGCATCCCCTACAATTGCACGTTCTCGGTGGACGAATCATCGTTAGCCGAGCGAGCAGGCGTGCATAATTAATGCGAGTCTCATCATGGAGGTCGTTAATCCGCGTCTAACCCAAGGAGGCCACGTGGTGAACGCGCAATTTCTTTTCATCGCGCACAATGGACACTGGATAATAGCGTCGTCTTGCGAGAAGCCTCGAACTGGACGAAAAAGAGAGAGAGAGAAACAAGAAGCGAGCAAAGATGTAAACTTGAATAGCGTCGAAACGCTATGGATGTCTGATTTTACATTATCCTTCTATAGGGAACGTAATTGAAAATACGGAAGCACGCTTGAGATGTCAATATAGATCTACGACCAAACATCTTCATTTTACATACCTTTACTCTACGAGAGAGCGAGAGACTTCTTATTTCTTATTCTACGAACGAGTCGTTTCACGAGTTTCATTCGTTGAACGAGAAGTTGGTGGAGAAAATTGAATGGAGATTGTAAGAGTTACTTCAGAAAAAGTAGCGGAAGCGAGATGAAGAATGTGAGGGATTTTGAAGGATCTCATTTGAAAATGGTAAAATGCAATATAAATTTTGATCGTTGAAATTCGATCTCGAATTTTTGTAGGGAAATTATAAAAAGAATTTGAAAATTAAACTGAAAATGAGATAAAATCGTGCTCGAAAGAGTATATCTTATGTAATAAACACATCTTATGTAATAAAAGTAATTAAAACTCTTCAATTAAAATCAATGATATTGAATTCGATTGATCGTAACGTCGAAGATATGAAATGCACGTTTCACGTATTATATCCACAACTCAATTAGAAACGCAGTACAAATTATCCATATCCAAAGTGCATTATGAATTGAATCTAGGAAACGATGCACGTATTTAATAACGACAACTATTAACGTAGAGTAGTGATTAGTAATCGCGTTGATAAAGGAGTCGGTCATTTATACAATCATATAACTCAAGCGCGCCACGCAGCGGGCAAACCGCAAACTAACGAAACCGCGAGCTAACGAAACACGCGGAAGCTTTTGAAAGAGAGGGTGAGAGGGTTGGGAAGTCGGCTTTCCCTTCTATACCACCGACCAATTCGAGTTTCTCGTCCCCGTTCACCCTCTGTCTAGCTGCCAATAATATGAATTGGGTTGCGGTCGATCGAAATTGCTACATATTAACGAAACCATTAATCGTATCGGCAATTCACGATCCACGTTTCCATTTAGTTTCTCGTTTCCACTCTGCTTTGACAGAAAAGTGAACGGTTTTAGGGCAAGGAGCCGAAAGATGGAGAAAAATCTGTTCAGGGAGATTTCCACGTTTATCCTCGGAATCCCTTTGTTCCCTCTTGTCCTTTTTATCACCGGGAGTAAACGACCTTTGATTCCCTCTGTCGCTGGGGGTGTTCTTCTTTGAATCGATACCGCTTGCAAGCAGTTGGTTTAAGGATAAAATGGAGGAGTTGTTTGATGATTTGTGGTATTTTTCTTCCGAACGTGAAACGTAATATCGGTGTATTTTCTTTTTCTAAATCTCGGTTTCCATTGCAGTAAACAGAGAGAAATATAAATGATTGTTTTATAACTTTGGTTTCGTTCAATTTGCAGTTTTATGTCAGTATTTTTAGATAAATTATCTATTAGTTCTTTTAATCCTTTTTCCGATTTTCTCTAAAAAGATTGATGACAATTTGCTTTTTGGTTGGTTGAAAAAATATCCTTCTTATTGAATTCCGTTGGAATATCCATCATTCTCTGACATCACATTCGTATAATTATTTTTAATTTTCTTTTCATAATTAAAATGTTTGGTATATGTTGGTGTATGTGCGAATTGTACAATGGAATATTGAAAATAATTAAATTAATGTTCAGCATTATTATTTATGACATGAATTTCTATAAATACAAGCAATTGTTCTGCAATCGCTTTTTCTATTTACATAATCTTAAAAACAAAAGTTCGAAAACAAAAGTAAAATCCGCAAATTCAATAAAGTACAGAATGCTTATGTATCGATTCCACTGAGTATTTGCCCGAACAAATTTACTTGAATCTCGATTTAAATATTCGATAAACAAATGTCTCTTTGACTTTGAGCTTAAAACGTTGATTAAAATAAACGATTTTTTAATCAAACGTTTTAATAAAACTTACATCATCTTTTTACAAAACATTTTAAGCTATTATTGTTTCGATTATTATTCTGTCAACGAAGCATCAAATAAATTCCATTGACAATGAAACGAGAAAATATTAAACACTGAAAATAAGAAGATTCTTCTCCGTTATAAAGCACTGATTTATGGAGTTCGGTGAAATAAATAAATTATACGATTCAAAATTTATGGAGTATAGTAAATGCTCGTGTGTCGCCGCCCACCGAATCATTGATCTCTTTCCCTGGAGATTTTCCTATTGTCGCGCAACAATATGTCGAAATATTTCATGATAATAACACAAAGTACATCATAATTCGAAATTATAGTTGTACTATTATTACAGTCATTCACCCGAAAAAATTTACTCTTGCAATGTAAGAAATATTTAAATTCTTCGATTATTACCGTGAATTGTAAATACAATTCTATTTCTATTAAAAATTCGATAATGTGGAAAATAGTTATTATAAGAATTTAGAAAATTAATGAAAATAAAAAGAAAGAGATCTAGTAGCATGTGTAAAACGTGATAGATATTATTATAGATGTTGCAATGATTAAATAAAGTTTTAAATCTTTTAAATCAAATTAATATTTGTAATTTTACAAAATCAAATTATTTAATAACATGTATGTAAAAAAATAAAAGCAATAAAAATTAATTTCTGTTAGAAAATTCATCGTGAATCAATTTTTTTTTAATGAAATTAATTCATTAGATAGTTTAATTTCAAATTTCGCAAATTTTGCGAAAATATTTTTTTTCTTTTTATGAACTATAAATAATAGAAAGAGAAATTAGAAACAAGCATTTCGATCGAGAAGAATATAACGTTCCGCGCCGTTTCCGGTCACACGGTACGCATTTTCTTCCTTTAACACCGTTCTCCACTTTTCTGATTGACGTTGACGCGACACACTCGCAATGACGTGCAATATACCCTCTCGTTTTCTGCGTCAAATGGAACAAAAAGAAGAGCACGCGCATGCAACTCGGTATGTAGTTTATTGGAACGCCGTAATTTTCACTGAAGTCACGTTCATTACTTAAATTTCTCTTCATATTCTAAACTTATACTAAAAAGAGATTACACCAAAGTTAAAAAATTCATCTTTCATTCATTTTATTTCTACTTTACCATCGTCTATAAATTCTATCTTATACAATTTAAAATCAATCGTTAATCCTCTATTCGCAAATTAAAATAAAAGCCTTCATTCATTCGATATTATTCCTATCACGATGAAACACTAGAAAGGAAAAATGAAGGAGTGAAAAATAAAAACGAAAGGAAGATGGAAGAAAGGAGGGAAAGTGGATAAGCGGCAATAGGAGAGGAAGGAAGGAAAGGGCGATTTCTCGGGTTGAATGCAACGTTTCACTCCCCTTCAACGTTTCGTTTGATCCTATCTGTAAGAAGGAAACGTTCGTCCCGAAGCGTTTCTCCGGCTCGCCATCAGCCAGCCTGTTCCTATTCTCGCGAACTTATCGTCGTGCATCCGCGCCCTCACCCTCCCTTTTACCTCCCTCCCTTCGCCTCTTCCGCCCCTTTTGGCGTCTTCTCGCCCTCGGTCCTTCTTTTTATCACGAGCCAACCGAGACTCTTCCCGAAACGGAAGAAGAAACCATCTCGACGCCATCATAGAAACATATTATTATCGTTTACGCAATATATTTGAGACACGGATCAAAATTAGAATCGATTTCTAAAAATAGTTCGAATGCAGGAATATTCTTCTCTCTCTCTCTTTCTATTTCACCTCTGCTCGATTCTATCTCATTTCATCCTGTTTGCAGATGCACGCGAACGGAAAGAGGAAAAATGGAAAGCCAGGGGTTGTTGTATCGAGCGTGGAACGAATATCTTTACGAATATACGTCGCGCCTGGGCACTTTTGTGCCGCCTCTGGCGTCGAGATTATTGGTTGTCGATAATATGGAAATGATGTTTGGGGATTTTTAATACTTTGGTATTCCAGAATTTCTGATGTTGGTTCAGGTGTTGGTACGGTATTATTGAATTAGACGCTAGGTTCGCCGTAACAGATTAAATAATATATAGATGGAATGTAATACGGAGGAAATGCGTATTGGAAAATTTTTGCAACAATATTTCGAGGTTCTATGTATGTACATTTCAATATATTGGTAATATTTGTAATAATCGAATAAAAATCGAGTAAAAAAATAATCGAATTTTTTGAAGCTGAAGATAAAAGCTGGAGAGAGGAAGATTTAATAATTGGGTATTTGCTTTACGAGGGTAGATATTTTTATTTCGAGACCGTATTTCGTGTAACGTGTTTCGTCATCTGGATTTATGAAGAGGGGATCGTAAAAGTGCTTAGACAGGTTTACTATCCTGTTATCCTTTCTCGTGGATGGACGGGTCAACGTCCTAAAAGGAACGACACCAGAAGTCACTCGGTAAACTGAGAGTGAAAAGCTCCATAAATCTCACGTCACTTACATAAAAATACACAAGAGAAGAAGAAATTTATCCAATAACATAATACAGTATCTAATCACACCATATCCACTATTTTCTCTTATTTTCTTAATTTTCTTAATACAGAATATTTACAGAACAATTTTCGCGAATCCTTTCTCTTTTCATCTGGCAAATGCCGTCTATCCACTCCAGAAAACAAGATCTTTTTCAAACTATAATTAGTGTATCCTTGCATTATCCATCATGATATCAAATCACGATCGATAGATTTTCATCGACACGGATAAATGAGTAAACGTGCATCGATCTGGCTTGAATTCAAAAGCAAAGTATGAATGGTTCTGCTAGAGGATAAAAATTGGCGCGTAGAGAACGTGCCTCGCGATAAAAAGCTTGCCTGTTTCTTGTTTACCGAATTGATGCATGTGCGTTTCAAGATGCTTGCATCATATGATTCATATCGATTTTTTGTAATTTAAATTTTATAATGTAGCCAATCCTTTTATATTAATTTTTTTATCGAAATCGTATAATTTATATTATTTATATTATCGGCATAATCACTATAACAATACTGATGAATCTCTGATGTTTGATGTTGAAATTACATTAGCTGTCATTGTCGAAACATATGATATCTTGTCCATTAACGATACTTCTACAGAGGGAATGAACGTATCGAGAAACATCTTTTCTCAATTGGAAATAATTCAATGCATATACTAAGTCGACAATGCCATAGTGACAACGAATGTATTAAACGAAATTTAGAAATAAAAATCAAAGAAATAAAAATGATGGAATGATAGAAATATTTGTGCCGTAAAAGGAATGTTTTGTGACAATAAAACTTTGAAAGATTTTACAATTATATATATTCTCCAAAATATTGAATCGGCTTTTTTCGCGTATATCCATGAAATATGAAAATGAAAAGTTTGATAAATAGATAAATCATGAGCTGTTATAGCGATTCGTCTTAAAACAGAGACGTAAACCAGTACATCAATCTTGCTTGGTGATCATACAACCCCGAAACATCGATCATTTTTCAAGAAACTTCTGTATTAACTTGCTACCTGTCCGTCCGATTCTGACTTTTCCAATCAATTTATTTCGCATGCAAACTCATATTTCATATAACCTCGTACAGTTTCGAGAAATACTTTTCAGGAAATTCAAATATAGAAAAATATTCAATCATTCATATTCGGGATAAACAAGGAAAAATATTCGGAATTTTCCAAAGCTTACGTAACATCTCTCTCTTCGTCAAAATATTTAATTTCTTTCCGGATAACGTAACGCTTCTCGTTAATTAATTTCCATAGTTAAAAATAAATTTGGAAAATAATTCTCCACCTCTCAGCCCGATAATTTCAAAGAATATTATATTGTGTAATAATCTGAAGAAAAAGATCGCGCAATGGTGCCTCTTCTGTGCCTCGAATTGCTTTTCGTAACTTCCGTTATAGAAGATTGAATGTCACCGAGTATCACGAGTGCGAAAGTGTAATTATAAAAATATATACGCGTTCACACGTGAAAAGCAAAACGGGTTTCGTCGAGCTTTTTCATCGCGAATTTCTGAATTTCTGCGTACATTATTAACGCCGGCGATATTAAATGAAACGAACGAGCGAAAATGTTAATAACATCGTCCCCTGAATTACCTTTGAATTTTCTGTCTGTGAAATTTTCACTCCCTCACGCGAGAAATAACAAAGCGTCTACCAGATATGAATCATCGTCTGTTATGATGAAGGAATGAAACAGAAATAAATCTTTATCGATATAATCAGATTTACGAATTGTTTTTGCTGCTGGCGTGTACTCGTGCGGAAAAGAATATAACAGGGAACCTCTTTGAGAGTTTTCAAAGAACAAATGTAACGAATATGAAGTTTGAAAGCAAGAAATTGCAAAGACTCGGAATTATTTTCGAGATGGAGATTTAATGTTTCGTGTTGGATTGATATGAGTTTATAATTCCAATATTTTAAAGGTTTCTTCGAAGAAAGAATTGTTTTTGATAAGGTGAAGTTTTAATTTCTCTCTCTTGGAATATTATTGTAAGATATTTGTATCATATTCTTGGTAATTTTGTTTTATTATTATTTATTTATTTATATGCTATATTGTAGAGAAAAATTTTTATGAACGATAACGTTAAAATATAAATTTTAATGTTGTTTATGAGTTGAAATAAAATGAAATTCATATATTACATAAATAAAAAATTAACACGATCGTGGTATTTTTATTATTTTCAGAAATAGACGTGTATTTTAGAACATAAAAAAAAAAAATAAGAGTAAATTAAATAAAATAAAGAACTGATGCAAATAAAGAACTGGAGAAATTAATTTACAGATGATAAAACCATGTTTTTAATTTAAAAGTTGTTTTCATATTAAGTTGTAATTTTACTGGATGAAAATTATGAATAAATGAATGGATTTTTATATGAAATATTCAAACGACTGATAAAAAATTAATATGTTATTTAATATAAATTTTATGATCAGATTACTTTCTTTCTTCCATGTTTCTTATTTTTATTTATTTATTAAGTTGTTTATTAATTAATTAAAAAATAGAACTAATTTTCAAAAATAAATTCTTGTGTTTTTAATTAAAATCAAGTGGAAAATTGATTGAAAATTTTCACCTCTAAAGAGCAAGAAAAGAGCAATATCTGCTCCATTTATAAGTCAAAGATCGTCAACTTGGCTATCTCTTTTAAACTCTCTAACTTTTAACGAAAATTTTATTTTTCTCATTTTTATGATTGATTAGATTAAAATGACATCGATCATATTTTTCTTCATAATAGATCACGAAGATAAAAATTTGTATTTTTAAAATTCATTGAAACGATACCTATAATGAATCAAAAAGCGTCGATTTATCTCAAGTTTTCTAAGAAACTCTAAAAATTAATTCTCCTATTCTCCTTATTTTTATAATTATTTTTATAATCGAGGCAATATAAATCACAAATCGAAGAGTACTCGAATACTCCTTCTACGATCTCGAAGATAGAAAAATTCCATTCTTTTCCTCTTGCCTATTAAAAATCAAGAAAAGTCTCTCAAGAAATTTATAATTATATCTTGCTTCCCTTACTTTCGCTTCTTACTTTCGAAAGAACGACGAACGCGACTCAAAGAAAATCGACTGTTATGCAACGCCACGCACGATTCCCTCCCCTCTTAATATCCAGATCTCAATCTGTCAGAGAGGCGGTAGTCGGTGTCTGAGCATACGGATTACAAATTACTGGCGCCTGGCCACCGGTGCCCTCGCGTCGCGACGTGAAATTACGAGCCTCCTCTCGTCCCCAATTAAGCCGAGCTTCCCCTCGCCCTATCTTTCTCCTCGTCATACACACACTCGACCTTCGTGGGTGAAGCACGAAGGGGCGCCCTTCCCTCGTGACGTCGCAGTTCCCCGTCTCGTTCGCGCCTCTGCTATCTCTTCACCCTTGTGTACCTCGTGTACACGCTGGTATCTCGACAAGTGGCGCGGTGCCTCCCTCTTTCCAGCTCGTGTCACGCGGAGATACTCACGGCAGGATACGAATCTGGTTAATTGACCCATTTCGTTGTAATGGGCTCCTTTGTGGCCACGA